ATTTCAACGCCATTGTGTGCTAAGCAGATTTCAAAAAGGCGATACAAATTCGAGACAATGCGTTTGGGTTTGTTTTGAGCCCCCCTGTCCCCGAATTAGCCACCGATATTGCTACTATTGCTACCAATACGTATGCCAATGCCAATGGCAATACCATTTTCCATGACAATACCCTGGACTCTGGGCTAATCTATGAGCCAAGATCGCAGGCTGTGGCCTGTAAGATGCTGCAAGATGTTCCGTTTTGTCCAGTTTTTGCCGAATCAATTTGTTAGAGAAACAATGACCCCCGGTTTCGGGACAAAGGACCTGAAACTGAGAAACTGAGAGGCGTGTGACATTAGCAGACAGTTTTGCGGCACCATGAGGGTGGATTCTATGCCTTCTACATATATTCCTACAAATGGACAGCCAACTGAGCGGATAATCGGATTGTCCAGGCTGGCGTTGGCCGGTCAAAACGTAATTTGTGGGTTTTTAGGCCAATCCAGCTGCCGAAAGTTGCGAGTATGCAAAAACTGCGGCGACAACTTCGAGATACAAGCAACTCCATGGAACTGCCAGCGGGTGGCTTATCGCATATCGTTTATCGCTTATCGCCATAATTCCCACTCAGCACTCAGGAAAGTTCAAGGAATTCCAAGGATGAGGAAGCACTTTTGAGTCTGGGGACGTGGTCTTGTCGTCGAGGCGAAAAGTGTCACACAAGCAGCAACATGCAACGTCATCATTGTCGCGAGCCATTCGAGAAGCATCTCGGCATCGGAGGCATCGAAGGCATCGGCAGCTGACCCAACATGCAAAGGAGATAATCACGAGCCGAAACAGCCGGCAACGGCAACTGTGCCACACTTATCTGATCTGCAGCATCAATAAGTCGTTCCTATAGATGACCAATATGCTGAGGTTGGGCAAAAAAAAAAAGAAAAGTAAACCTCAAGGAGCCAACAAAAGCAAACCAAAATGTTATCAGAAAATGCCTGCCTTCTTTTGCCTCCTCTGCAATTCCCTCAAACTTGGCCCAGTATCTCGTATCTGTCCCACAGCAATTCAACTTTGTACATTTGCAAGTGCCACCATCAATTAAAACTAATAGAACAATTAATGAACACAACAAACACAAACCGCAAAGTGCAACCACAAAGCGAGAACTTAGAAGGAGACAACAAAAAGATGTCGAAGATGAATATGACAATTTTGGAGAAAGTCGACTTTGGAATGCACTCATATTTAAAAAAATCGTCAGTCCAAAAAATATAAATAATACCAATAATTATGATATCATTAAAGAAAAAATCAATTGGTGGCTTTTATTGAGAAACATTCATTTGGTTTTGAATCACACATTTTTATACGTCCTTAAACTTAAATACATTTTAATAAATAATTGTGATTCATTAAAGAATGACCATATTGACATACAATAAATAATACAAAATCGACTTCATAAATTCTAGTCTTATTTTTACAAAACATATAATATAACCAAATATATTCTCTATTAAAACATTTCCAAATTACTTATAAATGTATATAACACCTATTATAAGGCATCTTAGGCGCATGCGGAACTGACTTTCAAAGAAGCTAAATAAAAGTGTTTTGTTCTGCGTCTCCTTCATCAGCATAATAATCTCCGTGATCATTATTGTCTTTGGCAATTAAGCCAGATGAATAAATAAGTGAATGAATGAATGGGTGAATGCATGGGCTGCCAGTTCATAATTTCTCGACTCTAATTCCCAAGAAAATTAGAAAAGGGTGCGGGTGGCTTTGCAGCGCTCACCAAAGCACAAGATCGCGGAGGCGAGATTGAACTGGGGGCGTGGTCCGACCGGCCACGCCCACCTCCGTGGCAGGCAAAGTGCACAAACAGTTAAATGCGATCGTCTGCCCCGCGTAATTGCAGTCAAAGAAACATGCAATTTAACTCATCTCAGCTCAGGAAACAATTGAATCTATGAATTATGAAATATTTTAAGTCAAGCAAAATGCCACAGTCAAGTGGGGCAGACAAGCCCCTCCCCCCCTCCCCCTTTTCCATCTGCGGCTAATTAACTAAGTGCCACGCACCTTGAAGTCTCAGCTGAAAAGCTGAGAGCAAAAACCCATTTTTAGCTTCATGCATTTTTAATTCGCCTAATAGCTTTTGGCTTCTATATAGCCAGACATTGATGGACCAGCAGGCACAGACCGGCAAAAATTAAAACACCAAAAATGTCGTCCTCCTCCGCCGCAGCTGCTGGCCAGATGCAGATTAATTCCCGGCGCCCGAAAAAGTCACCCAAAAAAGTTGTACTTACCTGGTCGCATCTGCCGGTGAACTAAGCCAACTAAGCGCAGTGTGTCCTCCATCAAAATTAATTACCAAAGGAGCGGGAGGCAGCCGAGCAGCAAGGCCAATTGTCAGTTGTTGTGCTGAGCTCAAAAGTTAAAAGGGGGCGAAGTCGCTGGGGCCACCCACCACCCACAGCGACACCCACCACCCACTGGACCCACTCCACCCCGGGGGCTCATCAGTCAACACTTGCTCAACAGTCTAAAATGATAAATTGCCATCCCCCTGGTCAAAATCACTTGGCTTTTAGCTAAATTTCTAGCTGAGTCAGCAAAGTCAGTCTTTAAATGCTAGTGAAGTGCAGTTCTCATCAAAATAACAATATGGTAAAAAAAATTTATTATATAAATGGCAAATTCTGTGATTATTTTTTTTGTACCATTGCTTTGTTTACTTTCTTATTTTCATGGCACTGCATACATTGGGGGTTTTTTTTCAGCCTAAAAGCATCCAATTTCGGGCGCCGGGAGAAAAAAAATCGGTTTTTGGCATCAAAAAATCTACTAACTTTGCGATTTTTTCTATAAAAACTGGTTGGATGGATTTAATTCAAACCTTTTGTATATTATTAAGTGTCATTTAATAAACATCCACTAATTTTTATAGCCGATACTATCGGCTAATATATCGGTGGCAAAGCGATTGCAGAATCGAAATTTTTTTTTGCAAGACTCTTCCCTCTCATATATTTCAAATCAATGGTCAAGTTATTTCGCTGCAACTTTCGGAATGTGAAAATCTCGCTTAATAAATTCGCATTCAGCCAAACAATGCAAGAATAATGCGACTGCAATTCGTCAATCATAAAAGACTGAAAGCTGTATTCAATGAGCAGCTTATGTGTGCTTTACAGGCTAATACTCACTGCCTGCCCTTCGCCCACAAGTTAAGGCCAAATTAATTAACAACAAGGCAGACGCTTTGTCCTTTGCAGCGGCGGATCGCATTGTTGGTTTTTAATTAAGGAGTTGAATGAAAATCAAAATTAAAGTGATTTATGCCAAAGATAAATGCGTAAGGAAAAATGCCAGTGCTTTAATTATAAACAAATAAGAGGGCACTGAAGCCGCAGCTAGCATAAACAAATAATTAAGAGCAGACAAAGTTGTGAAGTCAGTGGAGGGTCGATTTTTATTCAAAAACATTTGTGTCAATATTTGCCCCCGCGACACAAGGATGTCAACTGATAGTCTAAGCTGGCGCTTCCTTGGCTCGAGGACTCGAGCATAGTGCGCCACTCGCTCGCTTCCAGTGTTTACCCAAACCGCAAAGCTTTTCTGGTAGAAGCGGTGGTGTTGAAGAAACATGCTCGATGTCCTGTCAGCGATTATGTCACACATGATTGCTCTTGGGTTTGGGATTGTATGTTTATGTGTGAGTTTCTAATTAAAAATGTAAAACATTTACTTTTGTCAACGGTTCGGCTGTATCTAAATTGAATACACATTTGCGGGTGACATTTCCCTTTTGGCTTTTGGGCTTTCACAGGGTTAACGAGGTCTAGGTTTGCTTTTCATAATTAAACAAGCTCATAGAGAATTAAAATACCTCTCGTTTAGTAAAAAAAAATGTTTATACTCTTGCCTCCTGTGAGGATTGAACTCACGACCCCTGGTTTACAAGACCAATGCTCTGCCACTGAGCTAAAGAGGCTCACATAAACATGGTCTGAAAAATAACCGAAATATGGGCTTCATTTTAGATTGCATAAACGTATTCGTGAAGTTAGAAAATATCTTTCATCTTATCACCGTATGCTCTGATGTTTAGATACAATCTATTCGAACTTTATCAAGTTTTGTACACGAAAATGTTTACTACAAAATGTTCAATCATCTAATTGCAATTCTATTTTTTAAATTATAGGTTATCTTTAGTTAACTTTAACTTTCAACTTCACTTAAAATTTAATTTTAAAAATTTCTTTTTTTTATTATTATACTGTCAAATTTTGAACGCCTCCTAGAAACAATTCTTGTCTCTATTCAACCATAAACTCCAACGTAAAGCGATGAAAAAATTGTTAGGCAAACCAAAACAGGTTTTGCATCGCTTAATCCTTCCAGACGAATGCGCTGAAATTATTTATTATGACGCAAAACTTTTTTCCGGCCGCAGAGCAACGCGTTCGCTTTATCTGCTGTCCAAAAGAGCCAAAGGGTCTCGTCGGGCATCCGCCAAAAGCGATACCCCACCAAACCCAACCCCAAACCCCAATCCACTCGACGTGAAATCAAAAAACAAAACTGGAACTTTTCCCAGTTAAGCCTCGATAAAGAGCTTTAAAAGGTGGGCAGCACCGAGAGCAGGACAATTTGGGTAATCTGAATGTTCAGTTAGCGCAACTTCAAAGGACACAAAATCTGTCCATGTGGCAAAATCGAATAAAATGGACAATTTTACGGGATAATTCTTTAAAGAGAATAAAAAAGCTGATTAACTTTTAATCGAAAGAAGGTCAGCCTCAGCCCTTTTATTAAATGTAATTTTAAGGAAATATGGGATGGGAGAAAAAGGTGTTTCCTTAGATTTTAATTTACAACCCTTTTGCAATCGATAGGAAAATTTGATAAATGCAACCCTAGAAACCCAATACTATTGCCGCTATTGACTTTTACTTGACATTTCAGAACGGTAATTTTTTCATACGAAAAATTCACAAAGATTAAAAACTAAATCGAGACCATGCCAGTGGACCAAGTTATCATCTCCTACATGCGCAGCCGCAACTGGATCAATGTCCTGCTGCTCAGGTCGATGAATCTGTTCCAGCCCGTCCTTGTGGAGAGTCCCAGCGAGAAGATAGAGGTCAGTGCCAATGGGTTCAGCTGGAGCGAACAGAACTTGGAGTACCGCATCTTGGTGAACGAGTTCTTCGAGATTGTCACCAAGACGGACGACGGCGAGGTGCCCTATAGCTTTGTGGAAATGCAGGGCAACAATTTGGTCTTCGGCCTCGCCCTCCGGAGGATCAAGCACCGGGTTCTGGACCAGCGCACCTGCGATGTGGAACAGGGTGACCTGCTACTGCGCATCAACCCCTTCACCCCGTGTTGCCTTCACTGCAGCAACTGTGCCAACCTGGTTATGGAACAGAGGCAGTTCCACCGCATCCAGGAGGTGGCCATGACGACCATGCAGCCGCAGAACTACTTCTGTGCCCGCAACCGTGTGCCCGTGTATCCCACGGAGGAGGAGCTCTTCTTCGGCCTCAACTACCTGGTGATCAGTCCCGATCTGCTGGGCATCGGGGTGACCACCAAACCCCCGATCATCGTCTCATCGAGTGCTCCCGCTGCAAGCAGTGCGTCGGCGAATATTTGGGTCGGGATGTGGCTGTGCAGCTCTACGCGGATGCCCTGCGTCTGGTGTCCGGGGATTCGCCCTTCGGGTTCGAGGAGATCTTTGGCCACGTCACTCCCACCCAGTTGATGATGCGCCTGCTGCACGACGCCGAGCCCATTAGTCCGGAAAAGACTCGACTTTTCCTCAAGGCCGTGCGTCCGGATGGTCAGTTGCAGTACCTGCACTTGCAGGTGGACACCAAACAGGTGCACATCCTGCGCTCCGAACTGCTGGACACTTCCGATCTGGACCGAAAGTCGGCTGGCTTGGATGCCCCTCCCATGGAGGCGGACACCAGCAGCGAGAGCGACTTCGAGATGCGTCTGAGTGACACAAGCAGCAGCAGCATTAATCCACCAACAGGCGACGACTCCATGGATCCACTTGACTCCTCACTTCCGAAACCAAAAGCTGCAGCTCCCCAGAAATCCGTGCAATATATACAGTTGCGTGGCTTTCGGGGTTGCCGCCTGAAGTATCTGTTCTCAGGAGAGGATCAGGATCTGATCGAAAACGAGGATATCACCACGACGTGGCTCGATGAGGGTACCCAGGTGCTCCGCATCTCCTATGGGATGATGGTGGACCTGATGGGTGAACTAAATGCCAATGAGCACCTGGCCGCCGCTCTTGAGAAGGTGTCGCCGCCCATCAAATCACGTCATCCCCGTCTCAGCTATCTCATCTACGAGGCCGACGAGGATTTCTATGCCAGGCAGGAGCAAATTACAAAGCTTGCCGGATAAATTCAAGATTTTAATTAAAATTGTGATATTTAATTTCACAAATAACTAAAAAATATTCCATTAAAAAATATAGTAAAATAAAATATAAACTAAGAGTGTGTACAACCTTTTTTAACTACATTAAATAAATATAATTGCTTTACGCTATTATTCCGTCGTACCCCATAAAATGTTTCCCCTAATTTACATTAACCCTTTCCCTTCAGGCGATTTTTTCTTGCTATTTTTGCAAGTTCCTCAACTCCAACAGTCGGGAGATTCACGGCATATTTTCTTAATTGTCTTATTGTTGCTAATTAGTACAGATTTAATTGCGGAAACCCTTATAAATTTGGTAGACAACCGATGCGGTTTATGGTTTGCCTCCCCCTTTTCGGAAGGACTGACCACATCATTAATCGTTGGCTGGTTAACGAAAAACAATTTGTCCAAATAACAATTAGGGCCAGGCCAACAACAGCCAACAAGTTAAGCACCCTCAGGAAAGGACACTCCAACGCCCACCCAGCAGGAGGAGGAATCAGGAATCAGCAATCAGGATCGGGATCAGGATCAGGGGAATCGTTAACAGCATTTGACGGCTGACAGTTGGCTAATGAAAATCCGGGGGAGTGAAAGTGTCCAAGAATGTGACGGTGACGCAACTTGATTAATGATTGCAAGGATTTCTAAAATTTCCCTTTTGCCAGTTTAAATTTCTCTTTAATTCGGGAGTGTTGGGATCTGCACATCGGCAACAAAAATCCATTCATTATGTATGCTGCATTCGCTGTCCATTATCCTGCATGCACTTGGTTGCATTGTTCAAAGTGGGTTTCAGCTGTTTTTTTCTAGAATTTTTGGCTGGCACAACAATGAGTTTCAGTTTGGGATATGAAATAATTCGTTGGCAGGTGGATAGAAGTGCCTAATGGTCTGAGCCCCATTGTTGGGCAGGCTTTTGTGGATGGCTCTGGATCTATTACACAGTAAACACCCCCTCCCCTGGAACCTTTCTCTAAATTAAGAAAGTGCACAGAGGTTATCGCATTTCTCATTTAAGGGCGCAATAGCCAGCAATTGCCAATAATTAACATAATGAAACCATAAATTGCGCTAGTTGAAGAAAGTCCAATGACATGGCTCTATAAGTGCCAGTGGGGAGAAATATTTCTATAGAGAAAGCATGCGAAATTAATATTAGGGCGACGCCCCATAAATTAATTTTGAAATGCACTCGAAGGCAGGGCATCTAGCAGATCTCCCCGCCAAAAGATATCTTGTGGGGGAGAGTGAAAGTTAGAGTCCCCCTAGAAATCCTGTCCATATGGCCGGACCTGAACTTGTTAATTACCAAGATGTATGCGTGTCGCGCACCACAGACCAATTAACCCCCATTATGGTCAGCTGAGGGACAGCACTCTTAACACTCCACACTCGTCGTCCTGGTCGAGGTCAAGTTCTGGTCCAAATAGAGGGGGCCGGCAATTAAGATTTCCAAGAGCGACCAGCACACATCCGTGGCGAGACGCAAAACAAACTCATTCCGGAGGGGCCAAATTGCTTTATGATGTTGCAGATTATGATAATGAATGATGCCATCTGGACTTGCACTTGGTACATTGACCAGGGCTATGTTGACACTTTAAGTGATTTAATGTTATTGTTTTTCCCATCGCCCTAACTGAACGCACCCTTGAACGGGGGCAAGAAATATAAACGATGGAAAATGACTATATTACAAGAAAGCTGAGAAGTTTACTGGAAGTCTGTAAGAAAAACTAAAAAACATCAACAAAAATAAATAACTTTTCAACTATTACCTTTTCCAATTGAGAGGTTTCATTAAAACTAAAATTCGCCTATCATTTTTGGTCATCGAGCTATATACGTGACTATACATTTTTGCCAGTTTATTGACACAATTGCCGACAAATAAATCCCCAACTCCAACTGATTACACATCTCGGTTTCCCTTCCCAACTCCCACTTTTTACCCGATTTCCTACCTCCCCCCAGCGAACTGAGAGTGTGAACTGCCATTGAAATGTTTTTGATTGGAAAAAATTTAATTTCCTATACGCTTCACTCTGCTTATCGCGGTTGCATTGTGCTCCAAATTCCACACAAAGAGAAATGTTGGCAATTTTTTTGCCATGCTCTTGGCAGCATTTTAAATTTAAATCAAGTGTTGGCCCAGCGGATATCTAAACTGTTTTCTCTCACCGCATATGTTGTACACAAAACCTCAAACCACAATTAATCAAGGCAAACGCTCTTGACAGCAGCAAATTCATTGACACTCTTTTTTCTAGTCTATTCGCAAAAAGTTTCACATTGGCAGTGGCAAAGCTTCAATTACGATTTTTCGATTTGTTGTGCGAAAAAGAGGATTTCCATTGCCAATGAAACCGGAGGGAAGTGTTCATTAAACGCTCTCCTTACAGCCAAACCGAGCTATCTTTTTTCCTCTATTTTGGTTAGCATTCAAACACATTCGTTTCACTCGTTCGCCGTCGGTCTTTTGTCCCTGCAACAATGACAATGGCGGAACCGCAGAGAGAGCCGGCGCAGAAGAGTGAAATTCATTTTTTCCATTAAATCGAGTCGCTGATTGTGCATGAAGTGAGGAGGCGCAAATGTCAGGGCTCTTCGGTTAGATGGGGGCGCTACGATACTCCGATAGGTTGCCACTGTCGAGGAATACGGAGCGCCACCTTCACCCCATAAAAATCGCATCGACAACCGAGCATCCCACGAGAGCTGGTTAAAAAAAAGAGTCCCCGGAAGTTGAATGCTCTTATTTGGGCTTGATTTTTATGTAAGCAGAAAGTATGTATCCAAGAACAGAATATTGGAAATATGACTTTTCTCGTAAATTAAAAGTGATTAATTGCGATTTTTTTATTTGTGCATTTAAAAAAATATATATAAGGACAATATTTTAAAGCAGCGGTCGGCAGCGCCCTATTAAGTGAGCATAGGGTTTTGTTCTGCCGACGCGCTGCTCACACATGTATAACGTAGAGCAGCGGTCTGCACACACACATCGATGAGCTGCCCAGTGCAAATTACTCACACAAATATAAAACAAGAGAGAACGCTATAGTCGGGTTGGTGTCCCGACTATCTAATACCCGTCACTCCGCTAAGGGGAGTGCGAACGCTGTGTCTGGTTGGTGTCCCGACTAATAATCGTAACTCAGCTAAAGGGAGTGCGAGGGAGATAGATATATGTTGACAATTTATAAATCGTATAACTTTTTAATGAATGGTCCGATTTGAAAAATGTCTTCTACATTTCGATAGGTATAAATATACACAACAAAATTGCATTTATACTTCTCGGAAATCTTTAAAGATGTGGGCGCAGGACCCATTTTAAAATCGTTAGTGGGCGATTGTGGGCGTTAGAGGGGCGTGGCGCTCGGCTAAAATAAACTTGCGCTGCGTAGGAAGCCAAAGAATATGTGTGGGAAATCTCAACCTTCTAGCTTTTGTAGTTTCTGAGATCTCAGCGTTCATACAGACAGACAGACAGACAGACAGACAGACAGACAGACAGACGGACAGACAGACGGACAGACGGACATGGCTAGATCGCCTCGGCTAGTGATCCTGATCAAGAATATATATACTTTATGGGGTCGGAAACGCTTCCTTCTAGCTGTTACATACTTTTGCACGAATCTAGTATACCCTTTTACTCTACGAGTAACGGGTATAACAAAATGTCAACGTATGTGTGTGCCGACCGCTGTTTTAAAGAAAATACATTTCTTAAAATAATGTAGAAAATGCCTTATGTTAATCAAATTTCTTTAAAAAAAAACATTTAACGGCATATAAACAAAATTTGTCTATAAATTCATTTTGATTTTTAAAATACATTTACTAAAACATTCAATATAAATATTTCTTTAACCGAAATCTGCAGAGTATTTCCAATTCGATCCTTTCTTCAGTTTGCAGTCCTTTTCGAAAAACTTTTTCACTCGAAATTCGATACACTTGCAAATGGCTTTTTGACAAACAATGACACCGGCCGACTCGCCTACAATTGCGGAGACATTTCTTCGCTTACCTTTTTTCTCTTTATCTCAACTCGCTTTTGAGGGTCTCCCCCTGAGGAGAAACGCATTTGCAAATGAATTGCTTATTGACAGTTTGATGGAATGATTCCCTGGCTGCCAATTGTCGATTTGCCAGACTTTTGTTATTCTTTAATTAAACGATTTGCCCGAAAGAGAAAAAACAAAATGCACAACTGGAAGGGATTAATTTTTTCATGAATGATGAGCTTTGCCAGATTTTCCAATAAAGTCTTTATATATTGCGAATCATGAAATGTACCTATCGATGATACAAAAACTGTATTCATCTTGCGAATTCATCTCGCCATTAAAATGTATCTTTCAAGTTTTGAGCTAGCCAGAAAAGTCACTTCCGGCTGATTGCATTTTGCAGGACCCTCGACATGCGACATTTGCGGTATCATTGCTGTGGCACTAATTGAAGTCGCCTCCAGCAATTAACAACTTGCCGGGCTGCTCATGTATGCAAAATCCATTAAATCACTTAAAAGCAGGAGAGGAGCACATTTGAAACCACTTCGAGAGCAAATGACACATAATACGACTACAGAGCAGTTGCCGCCGAGATGTGCAGGAGTCGGGAAATTCGCAGGACACGCACTCGAAAGCTGGGCCCGCCCTTTCCGATGTCGATGATAATGTAACAACACTCAACCTCTTGGCAAAGGCAAAAAAAAAGTGGAATACATAAAAGGTAGTGGGGGTTTTTCAGACAGCAAAAGGGTTGGTCATGACTTAAGGGAGCGGAGGTGGGGCAAATGAAATTGTCACAGGCACAAATTTAATTACATCAGCTGAACAGATCGTATGTTCCGGAGCTTAAAGCTGCCCATACATTCAGGTGACTCCCCAGAGCTCATCACCCTTTTCTCCCATGCTCCCCGTGTTACAGCTCATCAACTGTCAAAATTGAAATTCCAAAAAATGTCACAAAATTTGACATGTACAAAAAAGAACTTCCGATAATTCATATTCGTATGCATGTTGAAATATGTCAAGCATGAAGAACTGATAAGCTAGAAATGGGTTTCGGATAGGATGGAGCGGAAAGTTTTAAAAAAACCATCATCAAATTCATGTGGCATACTTTCACTAGTAGAAACATCCTTAAAAATGTTCATTTACAAATTACAAATACACCTGAGTCCCCCGGCCAGCAGTCCCATTTTCAATTAGCCTAAAATCCAGTCACTAAAAGTGATGAAAAAATGAACTGTTTAATGCCTTTTATCCCACTCATAATTCGCATAATGACAGAACATCTCCCCCTTTCCCCCAGCAAACCCGGTAATTTGGCCAGCCGACTTTGGTGAAGAGCAAACAACAGACGCAGCTGACCACTCCCGGATGCACTTCAACTTTCCACCCTGTTGCGTACAATCAATGGCCAGGACACCGAAAGCCCGGACGGATGGCTCTGGATCTCCCCCGTCGTCGCGTTCGGATTGTTGCAAAAGTGCGAAACCGCAAATGTTAAACGCAACACACAAGTCAATTCCGCAACCCACCCAAAAGCCAAAACGAACCCACGGTGACAACCGCAACCAGGCCACAAAGCTCTTCAATTTGCTTGCCATCTATTATGGTAGCTCATTGTGGGATTACCGCAGAACCCGAACCCAAACCCAACCTCAAGCCCAAACCTCGTAAAACCCACCCCCACCAACCAAGTATAGAAGCCCGGAACACGGAGGCCGCACCACCGACGCGTATGCGCCTGGTCGGTGAGGAATTGCTAATAAAAAGGGTGGAAAATCCACTTTGCTATGGCATTTGATTTTGATTTTTTTCGACTCATGGGACAGACGACTCTTGATGGCAAGGGGACAGTGTTTGAGGACTGGCAGATAGCGTTGAATGGTACAGGACTTGATGACTTTTGATGTCAACGGATAAGTAGGTAAAACCTGGTACTCAGAATTAAGAACTTTGGCAATTTCTTTTTCTAAAACTAATTAGTCTAAATTTTAATCGTATTTAAACCTTTTATAATCTTAAAAAAATAAATTTAAACTTGTGATTCAATGGGCTTTATTCCAAAAAATAAATTTGTATATACAATAAATAAAATTAATAATTTTAAAAACATTTCACTACATTTTCATAAAGTACCAAAAAACATAAATTTTAAAAATTGGTAAACTTTTTTACAAATGTTAACTAATATATAAGTTTTACAAATCTATAGAGTATTTAATAAGTACCTTAACATAATTTCCGATTTCTATAAAAACTTCAAACAAAGACAAAATAATTACTTGAGTTATAACCGCAGTCAAAGTCAATGCGAGTAACCGAAACTGCTTCAATTGACCAATAAAACCGTCAAAAGCTAATACCATCTGCACAATGTGAACACTCACCGAGACGTTGATGATGATTATGAGTCCGTTTTTGGAGGGGAAAAGCAGGGATAAGCGAACAAAGGAACGGCCTCCAGCTGGGCAACTTTTTGTGCAGGTCTTACAGGATTACACTCGATTACAGGATACATTACAAGTTCGACGGGTGGCAAGGCACCGGCTCGCCCGCTGGGAATGATCAATCAAGTCGCAGCGAAAACGACGAATTTCCATTGCCATTTCTAACTGACTGAGCACGGTCAGTTTTCCAGTTCCATTACAATCATTGCGAAGCCCAATGTTAATTATGAAATTGCGCTTTGGTTCTGGACGCTGGGTAGCTGGGTAAACAAATAATTCTGCAGCTATATCAAAGAATGTTTTCCATTGCGGACAGAGCGATTTCGACAGTTCTGGGCTTAATGAAAACCGGAAATCCACTTGCTTCCCATCATCATCATCTGCTATCCAAGCCCCTGGTCCAAGAATCATTGCGAGCCCGTCTGGAGATCTGTTTACTTTAGTACTTGCCATCCATTTTTTTGTGTTCCTTTTTAGGCGATTAATTAATGCAATTAATCTGCTGGCTGAATACAAGACTCGGTACTCCTTTGGCCGCAGTTGATGGACTTGTTTGGGGGCGCACTTGTATTCCCCGTTCGGGGAAATGAGTGTAAATAAATGGTTAAGATTAAGTTGAGATTATTGCTAATCAAAAAATTCATTAAGCCTATAAACAAAGACATGTAGACATCAAGAGAGACACGTAAATAACCTCGTTTATGTGTACAAAGTAATTGCTTAAGGTATATCAGTCACAAAATATTCCCCTGAATATTATTCAACTTTTTTTATTATTTCGTGCTTTTGATAATATATTTTTAAAACTTTTTTAAATTTTCTTTTAAAAAAACTACATATTTTTTAAATTTCGAAAACATGCAAATTTAAAAAATGGTTTTGCCGTTAAGGAAATAGATTAATAAACTCGAACCTTATGAATTTTTTCTTTGCGACTTACGCAAGCTAAAACGTGATACAACACTTTGTGCTGAAAAGCTATCCTTATCCTTGTCCTTATCGTCCTTACGTATTTTGGACATAATCTTAAAGTAATTAGCGATGATCAGGTCGACCCTTGGCCCCGAAGTTGTGCTCGCCAGCTCCTTTTCACATCGCGATACCACATTTGTGAGAAGACCTCCAGAGCGAAAGAACTTAATATTGAGGTCCCGTTTGACCCACTTGCAAATCTCCTGATGGGTGGACGGTTCAAAAATACCACTAAGCTCATAGAAGTGCTCATAAGTCTCGCTCATCTTTCGCAATTGAAGTTCACCGAGCTTGGGAATGGCCAGGTGAGGTCGCCTGACAATATTGAAGGGATCGTATTGCTCCGAAAAGTTCATGAAACGTACGGCGGGCCAATCGAGACTCAGAAGAGTGTTGTAGAGCTTCTTCGGATGTCCGAGGATGCCGTGGGATATGTCAACTAGGCGCAGCTGAGATCCAGGCGCAATGTACTCCAGTTCCATGGTGGCAATACGGATATCGGAGCCCCGGTACTTGCGCTTTCCTATCCACAAAATGGGTAGATCCTCCACCGGAACTAGTTTCAGCTCCTGAATCAGTGGCGATTCCTGAATGCGATAGTTGCTGTTCTTCTTGTTTCGCCCGTAGAGAAGACTCCGCTCGGCTTCCGTGAAGGTGAGGTACTCAGGACGGGCGGAAACAAAGTATTCCGAGCGGAAGAGTCGGTTCATCTCCATTTCAATGACATAGTACGCCCTGCGATGCATGCAGATCCAGACTATTTGTATGGCCACAGCCAAGAATTGCTCATGAAAGTACTTATCGTGAATCGTCGCTGAAATATTCGAAATAGGCTTCATGTGGTAGAACTTGGCCATATTGCCCTCGCCCCCGATAATCAGGCAGTAGTTGCGGGCCACGAGCATTCGGTACTGACTGAGGTAAACCGACAGGGTTCGCTTCATATCATTGGTCTGCTCGCTCTGCACTTGGCCCTTCTGGCCCGATAGTTCATCTCGCCGAATCAGGACGAACTCAACCAGGCGCAAATAGTACTCGAAGTATATGATCAGGGCGTGGATCACGTAGAGAACCTCCTGCTCGTGCATAAACTCAACGAACCGGTAGGACAAAAACTCCGGGGGCATCAGGTAGAGCACCAAGTTCCTTATATCCGAGATCACGATCACATCGCTGTGGTTGCTCTTCGGTCGCACATACTCCTGCCGGAAAATGAGCTCCTCCTCCTGGTCCATGGTGCGCAGGAACTTGTACCCATTGGTGGTTATGTAACGCTCCCGAGCGTGCTCCAGATCATTGTGGGCCTGAAAGTGGAGGCAGTCCTTCTCCGAGTCCCACGACCACTTGCCGCTGTAGTACTTTGGGGCATAGTTATCCACATGGACGCGCTTCATGGTGATTGAGTGGTGCAAAAGTGGTATAAATGTATACAAGTTTTTAGTCAAAATATGATGAGAAGTCGGTGTTGACGAGTCGTCTATACTTTGTAAAATGATTTGGGAGTCTCATCTGGTATTAATCCAAATGCTACTCTGACTCAAAATACCTCTAGGATCTTTTAAAATACAAAAATTCTTCTTCGAAGCTTATAATCTTTAATAAACTTTAATTCTGAAAGCAGTGCAGTTATAAAATCATATAATAACAATTCTTAATCGTTTTTAATATGACAAGACTATGATAAAAACATAAACCAGCTAGACCCCCAAAAGAAATCACAAAAAAAAGCAATGGCTGAGTCGTATTCATGGCACTCAGCGATTGGAACTTGAACAAATTACCATATTAATTGCTACTAATTAAAAATTCATTAAAACACTGCACTGTGGCCATGAAACTGAAAAGGGAGCAAAAGCCAGGCCAGACCGGAGCCAAATCGGGCAATTTATTATGCTTTGTCATCTCGGTCGACAGGAGCCCGTGTGCGCAAATGATAATAATAAACATTTCCATTTTCAAAATTTCCACACTTTTATCGCTGCGGAATCAATGAGTTCGAGTTCATAATGGCCCAGCTCCCCACTCGTTTTCAGTGTGTACTTTCAATTAGAAGCCAACTCCGGGGCCATAACTTACCAACTAAAATATGCAAAAACATTCTGGCCATGCTGAAAGTTTCAATCTCATCGATACGTGGTAGTCCTGTGGCTCTGTGTGGCTGTAATTATGAGCTCAACGAGTCCGCTTCCCCTTTTGTGTGGCATGCCGCATCCCCTCCGCCGACACAGTCACCTGTAACATCTGTGTGCCCCGTGCCGCTGGGTCGGTGTCTATTCAAGCCATAAATTCCGGCTGTGTGGCACATTAATTAATTTGGTTTTGTGCGTCATTTCAAAAAGGATTATTTGCCTCTACCATGTAGATGTAAAAGATGTGTAGGGATGTAATGGATCTGGGGCTGCTTCCCTAAGTGAGCTGTCACATGTGTTAGGCCATATTATTTTACTGAAATAATTTGTTTTACTGTATTATTTTCTGCTAAAAAAAGGAAAAGTGTTTCCAGTGATATTCCTATAAAAGCTGAATTAATAATAAATTAATACAAACTATAAAGCTACAATTTGGTAAGATGGAAGCCTGAATTCCCAATACTTTTCTAAGAGGCCCTATTTTTTCCAAGCATTGTATATTTCCACAACCTCTCTGCAATAGAAAGCACTTCGTGGCAGCTGCGCGACTGCAAAAGTTGTGACATTATAAAATCTAATGAACAGAAATTAATTTATAATAATAATAACTCAACTAAGGCGAAACATCGGGAAAGAGTTGCCAAATAGAAGGACCCACACCCAGGGGAACGGTTTTGTTTTACGACGGCAGCACTCCCTGCCATTTTCCTTGTACCCTGGGCTTAGCTCGCTCTTTGAAAGAGTTTCCGCTTACAATTTGCATAAAATTTGTTGGAACAGTCCGCACAGATGATGGCGTTAATAAGCGGGAGTCCAATTTTAGTGGGTGGACTGGGTGGAAATGGGGGAGGCTTACCTGTTGCCCGGGCCTCTTCGACATCGATTCCAAGCGGCGCTGCTGGGTAAATGGATCGCCCTGTGAAACCCGGTAATTGTGTGTAATTAAATCCAACTCTGTAAAACAAATGACAACACTTTGTAGACAGACAGCTGGAGAAGGAGTTATGGTGTGGGTGGTGAATGGTGGGTGGAGGATGGTCTGCGGTTACTTTGAGGTTGCCAGGACACAACCCTTTACCCTCGGCTCGCTTTTGGCAGCGTCTTGTCTTAATTATGTAGCGTGAATAATTTTTGCTCTTTGTGCGGTTTCTGTTCACGAGTCATTGATATTATTTAAATTTTGTGTTCCAAAGGGAGACGCTTTCGGATTAATTAGTGAACATTTTATTTGCGTTATAGGTATGGGATAAAGCCATTAATTTTACTAGAATGCCAAAAGAAGCAATAGGATTTTTATTTTTCAGTGAAGGAAATTTGTTTGCAAATAAAGTCAAAGCTCTTTTCATATAAAAAGAAATTCCTTTTCAATTACTTTGGCGCCACATTTCATTAGCAGTTACGACAACAGTAGCAACCGCATAACTGCAAACACTTTTTTTGCGCATATCGTGTGACCATTTCAGATTTATTTTTTCCTGATTCTTACTGTCCTCTAACTTTTTTATTTGCGTTTGTGGTAGCGCATGTCTGTCCTCATAGTTTGTCCCTTTATTTGTTGGTTTGCTGAATTGTTGGTTTCATTCAAAGAATGCTTCTGACAATAATTTGCGGTGCTGGCGAAAACCATTTGAAGTGCTAACACAAAGTGGTTAGGATGAAAAGTTTAGTCAGTGGATAGATCTCGGTTAGCCAGCACACAGCAATTTCGTTATTGGCCTGGTAAAAATGTGGTCGCTGATTGTTGGCAATCTCAAAAAGCGCCAGAAACCAAAACAGCTAAACCAAATGTTGCTCCTGTAGTTGCAACCGATGTTGCTGTTGCAGCTGGCTTTGTTTTTTTGCGTGGGTGTCGCAACTGATTGCGTACAATTCAAAAGCTGCAAAATTTGCATTTAATTTGATTGAGCTTGCTCTAAAATGTTTACAAGTCAAAGAAGGTGCTAATGAGTAAACAACAAAGTGACGAGGTTTGGTGGGCGTTGTGGGTCTTCGTTGGTGTTGCTATTACTATTATTTTAAATGTTGGTCTTAATCAAACGACAGCAATTAAGCCCCCTAAAATTGCCAAATAAACAAAATTATAAGGCCAATAAATTGCGAATTAATTTACGAGCTCAAAATTTAATTTTTGCAGCTAACAACTTTGTTTAACTATTTCCATAAGTTTTTGTAAAATGTTTTTTGTTGATCAGAGGAATTTGTTCACTTTTCCCCATCTCTGAAGACCACCAAACTCCAAAAACAGTTGCAGAACCGATTACGTTATCTTCTGGCCACAGCGACCTGGTCGAGTGTCGTAATTAACCTTGGCGCAATGTGTGAAAACGAGAAAGGGGGTAAATGGGTTGCGACTAATCCTGAAATATTATTTTTGGCGGTAGTAAAGATGCTTAATGGTTTATTTTCAATTTACGGCCAACAGCTCGCCATACGAACAATTAAAAGGGCTCTTAGGTTTTCCTCCAACCCATTTGGAAATGTTTCCGAATCATTTGCATATGAATTTTCAACCTTTACGCCTCTAGTTGAGCATTCAAATTACTGTTATTATTATTTTCACTCATATGGGGGGTGCCAAAAAAGGGGCCAAAGGACGAGGGTTGAGCGGTAACCATTAAAAAGCCAGCACGACCTTTGGCTGGGAGCACCTCCGTTCTCGGATTTTAATTCTATTAGAAGGCCGAGGACGTGGGACAAGGCCGCTTATCGTGGTTACACACCCACGTAGCCGTGTGTAACCCACCCACTTGTGATCCCACTCCCAAGGTCCCTGAGCGGGCGCCAAAAAGGTTAAAATTATAATTTGCGGCTTCTGCTTTATTACCCGCCTCACACACACACACACATTGTACAATACATTTTGCGGCCAAACAAAGTTCGGCATTTTTGGCAAGCCGCGACCACGATGTTGACACGCTTAATTTCTTGGCCACATTCATAGCACTTGTTTACATCGTTTTAGCCACATCCCCTTTACTCGCAATGGAGCCAAAGACAAAAGGGATTTTTAATGGCTTTTTTGGCGCTTGGCTTATCAGCGGCGGATATCCTTGGAAGGTTGCTTGCCACAAAACAAATAAAGGTTACTTTGCCACTAAACAACTCGCATGCTGCTCTTTCGGTTGCTGTTTATTTTGTTCGTGTTTGCCCCACGAAAGTGTAAAGTTTTCCCAGTTGTTCGAGGATAAAGCGTGAGATAAGCGCGCCTCGCTATGAATTATTTCGTTGGTTTTCCTGTCCGCCAGGAAAGTCTACAGTTTTGGCCAAGGTTTGGGGTCAGATGAAGGTGAGGTAGGGTTACCTGAGTTCTTTAAACTGATGCAGACTTATCTATCTCTCTTTTATGGTACCATATGGTAATGATATTTAGATCGCTTGGATATCCATACTTCTTTACCAAATGTTAATACAAAGTTTAGACTTGTTCCTCAAGAACTTATTATTATCCTTCATCCATTTTCCATCTAAAGAACTGCTCTGCAAATTATAAAATCCCACCATCACACCCAAGAATAACAAATTGTCAGCACATAAGATGGCATTTAATCTTCAACAAATTGCCGAGACACTTGTACAGACAGCTTAAATAAATAGTATGCCTTCGTCAGTCGACAGCGACTTCCCCTCCCCACCTTTACATTATTTCAGAGGATTTCAGAGGGCAATCTGTCAGAGGAGGAAGAAACTGAAATACGCATCGTGTTATGCTGGAAATCTTTTGCTAAATCGTTTTTTATTTTCCCCTGCGCCCACTCCGCCCCATTTCACCCACTGATGGTTGGTAAATTTGCATTTTAACTCAATAAATTCACTTTGCATGCTGGAGAGTCGAGTGGCTGCGGATTCAACGGTGTGGTGTGCTGTGTTGTGCCCTATAAATCTGTTAGAGTCTAACGACTACAAGCTTCTGACTGGGTAAAGAATGCCAGCTCTTGGTAGTACAGCCCGCGGCAGCTCACTCATTTCCCAGCTACTGATTTGCTGCCTGCGAGTGAATCCATCGCCGGCTTATGGGATTACACCAAGTGTGAGTGGATAAATAACTCACACCCTCCGTACTCTATAGCGATCCACCTTCCAGCAATCTTCCTCGGCGAATCTTGACTTACCTTTTGTCGCCGCCTCGGTCGCCGAAAACTCTGGTCTGGGGCGATATTTGCGTTATTTACGATTATTTACAATTTCACAATTTACATGTGCCAACTTTCTGTGACTGCCCGCCCCTCCCTGGCACGCCCCCTGCGATGTCGTACAAGAGGCAACATCCTTCGCCTTGTATCTTGATATGTTGATTCTCCCCCCTGCCTTTGCATCCCCACTTTTATTTATATCACA